CTCTCTCTCTCTCTCTCTCTCTCTCTCTCTCTCTCTCTCTCTCTCTGTGTCTGTCTGTCTGTCGGCGACATTTGCATCTGACAGCACCTTAGTCCATACTCACACCAGGGATTTCATTTCAATGTATATGTCCATTGCAGTGTATCTTCCTATGCTCTTGCGGAAGATTCCTTCTCATTTTGCACATTGGCAGGCTGCTCAGTTGATGCACACATGGAAAAAAAAAGTTAAAAAAAGTGTGGCAGTCTAGGCTACCAGAGTGGCCCGGGGTCACTTGCCCGGCCGAGCCAAAAACAGTTAAAGAAATAGAAATAAAAAACTATTTTTTAATTTTATTTTGATTGGGTGCAGAATTTCGATGTGACCTTGAGGCAAAAGTTGTTCAGTTTATTTTTCTGCATAACATAGTTTTTTTTTGCGGATTTTTTTGATTTTTCTGATTTTTTTTTTTTGCTGGGACCTTCGCTGGTCCTTGCACGGGCTGGCCACCCGGGACCCGGGCGGCCCGCCTGGTAGCCTAGGTGGCAGTGTATATTTCCATGTTTTGGCTGAAGATTCATTCCAATTTTGCTCATCCTTCACACGCACCGAGGCAATGTATGTATGTACGCATTTTTTTTTTTTTTTTTTTTTGTTTGCGTTCTCTTCCCCCGAAAATACGGGGGATCCAGACGGACATCCGGAAAGGGGATCCGGACCGGTCCAGATCCTCCCGGAGAATCCCTTCCCAAAGTCCGAAAGGGAGGTCCAGGTTGCAGGTTCTGGGGTCCGGATTCGTTCCTGGGTCCAGTCCGGGTTAGCTATGCTTCAAACCCTCTTGGTCACCTGTATTCTGCACAAAACCAGTACAATTAGCAAGTCTACTATGGCTCATCACATTCAGAGCAGTCCCCGTAAACGATTGGCTAGCACAAAGAAGAAGACAAGAGGACAGAACCAAGCAAGCCTCATGGTGCAAAGTCTGCAACTTGGAATCCATCGAAAGTTTGAAACACTTAAATCAAATCATTGCTTCCTAGAATGTGAAATATCCCAAACCCTCAGGCATGACACATTAAGAGAACCGGGAGCAGACACTGTAACAGAAACCCGAGCACCATATTCCTGGATATAGAGCAAACCCCACCCCTCAAAAGCTTCGACTTATTCTTCTTTTCGCAAATAAGAAAGGCCTCCCTCTGGGCTATTTGGAAAAGGAGGTGTGAAAAAAATGACCTTTGAAGACAGCCCCACTAACTCAGAACCCCCCCCCTCATAATCATTAAACATCTTGTAGAATCTGAAATACATTCCCTATGGAAGAGAACTCCGACCCAGATCGAAATTCATCCAGACAAAACACTAGAAATGATCAAAAGAGCTCCACAGAATAGAAGGAGCCAGGACCATAAGGCCCTGTTAAAAAAAAAAAAAAAAAAAAAAAAAAAAAAAAAACACATCCAAAAAAGAAAGAGGTAACCTAGGCACCATAGGAGAAAACAGACTGATAAATTGTGATAATGATATTAATGAAGGATTGGTTAACCATGACATCCCATCCCATCGAAAGACCCATCACCCACTCGACAAGCCCGCAAGACCACCACCCAAGAAGCAGACCCCCACAGTCTACAGGATAGCGCAGATGACACAATCTAAATCCAAAAGGCCTAGAAATACATTAACATTACCTATTAATAGTATTAATCACTCAGTACCACTACTGTAATGAACCCAGTCTCGTCAAACGATCATGTCGTCAAACAACAATGTCGTGCAATGTCGTGCATTGTCATGAGATAATCATTCCAGCAAGTTCATCAATCTGATGTCATCGAAGTACATGATCCCTCGGTTCCACGTGTGATCCAAGTCGAAAGTATCCAGATTAGAAAAGAGACGGGGGGAGGCGAGACAAATGGAGGGAGAAGAGTGATACAGAAAGCAATTCCCACTTCTCCTCCAGGCTCCCCACCTCTGCCACGTCAGCACTCCCGAACACCGTATGACACGTGGATGATGTAACACAGCCCCTCGCAGATGCCAAACCTCCGGTAGCGAGAAGAATCAGCAGCAGCATTGCATCCGGTAAGACCACGTACGTACTCACGACCTCACACTTCACCCACACTCTCTCTCCCTCGCCTCCCTATCTCGCCGCTGACTACCCTTGCAGCAATGGCTACCTCACTCTCTCTCTCCTTTACTCTATTATCTGGCTGGCGCGCACGAAGCAGCATGGCGCCAACACCCACTCCGCAAGTCTCACGTGCAGCGTCGAAGCCGCAAGCGACTCGCAAGACTGAATGCCCGCCCAAGCAGTGGCGAGGTCAACCTTCATATAGTGTTGACTTGCCTGACCACGGTCAGCGTCAGTCCATGTGAGGGTCCAGATCTTCCGATTTGTCCCAGTTTCGGTCTGGACTCCTTCAGGACTGAATCTTCCGGAAACCCCATACCACTGTTAGATCATTCCAGATCGACGGCCAGGAAATCTTGTGTGTTGATTTTGACATCCTGGATCTAGGCCCGGGCTTGCACGGAGGAGGATTTAGGCCCAGATGTACGGAATCCATACTACTGGGTCCACCAGTTGACTGTTGACTTTTCGGTCAACTGTCGGCCTGGGCCATTTCTGAGGCCTGTTTGACCCCTCTATTTCCAAGCCTGCCCGTTTGGGCTTGTCTGCGGGCGCGACGAGAGCCCAGCAGCTCAATTTGGCGCAGCACGAGTTACAGCACCACAGTCAACAGCACAAATTAAACTAAACCAGCCACCTTCCTTGCATCCAAAATCCAAACCCCTAAGCAGTAAAGCACATACCTTAGAGGCCGTCCACCTCCCCCCACCCGTCCACCTCCCACCCCACGGGAAAATTCTGCCACCCCCATTTGGCTATCCCACACCTGCTATGCTCTCCATCACAACGAACAACCTTCACTCGAGATTATACCCCCCCGATAAGTAGAAAAAGGGCTTAGGGTTTAGCATTGGAGGGAGAAGCGACTCGTCAAAATTAGAGGTCTAAAATGCAGTCAAAGGCTAAGGAGTACTCCAATGCCTAGAAAGGAAGGGCTAGGGTCATAGCTAAGGGCACAGATGAAGGCTGAACTAGCTCTACCAGCAATCCACACAGATCTGAGAGCCATACAGCTGAAAGGAAAAGCTAGCGGCAACCCACACAGGCAGGCTTTCAACAACTACAAGACAGGTCCATAAGTCCGAAAGGCCATCCAAACCCAAAAAAAAAAAAAAAAAAAAAAGAATACGTCAAACAGGCTATAACTTAGGCAGGGGTGAAGGGTGGTATGTCCTTCCTTTTGCGGGGTAATCAATGCCGTCATCCTTCGGGCCTTCCTACGGCAAGGGGGAGGAGCGTGTGTGAGTACCCTTTGTAATTCTTTCTGACTTGCCGGTGGAATAGGAATCAGACTGATGCTCCCCAGAATGGAAAAGGAGCCAGAACCTTAAGGTTCTGTCTCAGAAAAAAAAAAAAAAAAAAAAGGAACCGGACTGTTGCTCCCCAGGAAAAAAAAAAAAAAAAAAAAAGCCACTTGCAGACTTACAAATTAGAATAGTGAAAGTGAAATTACAAAATGAAGTAACCAAACAAAATTAATAAAAATTATAAAATGATATTAATGACAAAAGTTGTCAAAAACAAATATTAAACTTGAAAAGTTAGAACTTAGAAGTACAAATGGGATTAATAATTAATTACAATACTTACGTACAAAAGGCGGCCGGCCAAACGGCTTCTTGTTCCTTCCCAAAGCAGCAAGCATAACCTCGTATGGACTGTCTCTGCTCTCACCACTGACCGGCTTGAAGTTTCTGGTCTGCCTTATGTCTTTTGCTTTCCTCATTCCAGCTGTACGTCTCCAGCAGCCGCCGCCAGTTGTGGCTCTGCAATGACCGCCTGCTGTACCTCTGCAGCAGCCGCTGCCAGCTGTGCTTCTGCAATGACCATCAGCTGTCTGATGTCCCTTGTATGCCTTCTTCTGCTTGCTCATCTTCCTTTCCGGCACATGGAGCTGATCCATTGCGCAGTAGACGGAGAAAAGATGATGGGAGCAGGAATGGGCAGAGGTGGGAGTAGGGAGGGGTGAGGTGGGGAGAAAACAATCTTATATCTTTTTTGCTCTCCTCTACAAATTACAATGAATGAAAGAGTGAGTGTGTTCTTCTACTTTTCCCAAAAAAAAAAAAAAAAAAAAAAAAAAAGAAAAAGTTGACAGCCCATAATAAGGCAATCATCTAAGCTGTGCAAGTGGCAAGAGATCTTCCACTTCTCCTCTCCCAGCATTCTGCCTACCTGGCCTCATCTGCTGCCTGAGCTTCGCGGACCTATCAATGCTTCGCTTGAATCACTGGCTTCCCGACATCTTCACTAGACTCAACATGCAACTTACAAGGCAACACCGTGGGAAGCCGGTGGATTGTATGTACAAAAGAAAGCAGTTCAAAGAACGCGAGTGCCTTCATAGACCCCATAACGACTGACTCGAAAGAGGAGAGCACATCTCGTTGCGTCTAAGAGCTTTCATAATATCCGATTTCGAAACCGGGAAATTCCGCTAACGCCCCTCGATCGACACCACAGCTGACTCAAGGTTGGCTACATAGACAAGCCTGCTAAAAGTGTGGCCGGAGCTGTCGTGGCGCCACAAGGTATGGAATACAGAGCCCTCGATTGGTCTAACCATCATCACTGAGGCAGGCTGTTCAAAGAATCCGGCATTGTGACCGTGCCCAGCGAATTGCAGTTTTGCAGTTCAACTAAGTTCCAGATAACCAAAAGTTATCACACACAGCTACGAGTCTACGACAGTGATTTGTACATGTGCAATGTGCATACCAAGCGGCAAATGGCTCGAACTCAAGGAGGCAAATGATAGGTGAACGAATGGTGTAGGTGCTTTGTGGAGTACCCGAAGGAATCTTCCTTCTGCCCCCACCCACCCCTGCGCCCCTCTCCTCCCTCCTGCCCACTTGCACTATTTCTCCCTTAAAACTGGGGTGACCGACAACGGAGAGGGGAATGCCTTGCAGCCTTTGCAGGCGCTTACAGAAGTCTTCAGTGTTAACTTTTTTTACCGCATCATGTGACAGCTCTCCTACCCCCGACCGGCTGATACATCAAAGGACGTGTACTTATTCTCAGTCCCATCCTTGCTTCCCCGATGGACATCACAAACCGCCGCCTTTCAGAGGCCGGAACTAGCGAGAAGGATGCTGTGCGCAGTAGCACCTAATAATAGACTGTAACGAGTTGCGACTCACGTAGCAGCTCGGAAAAGCACCGCACATTTTTCTGAGCGCAAATGCTGAACGGTAAATTAATTATTTACTAGTATTTAGTATTTACTATTTAGTTAAGAAATCATGTACGGGCGCAGCGCTGGCAAATGGCGGACCCTTGCATCTCAAGCTGTTTGCTAGTGCTTCAAAACTGACGCAACCTACCGTCATTGTGGCGTCACTGCATTGCTTCCATTCAGGCTGTAAAGCTCGAAAGAGCTTTTAACATGGAACGCGAGGCTCGGCAAACAGAATGAACTCCAAGCATACTTCAGATAATAAAAAACTCATGAAAGAAGTTTCAAAAACTAGGCGACCAGCCGGGCCGCTCATGAAAAAAAGTTTCAAAAACTCGGCAAACAGAATGAACTCCAAGCATACTTGCAGTAAGGCATGTGTTTGGTGGTAAGAACGGAGTGCGAATAGGGTCAGAAGACTCAGAATTTAGAAATAGATTGCTGTTGACAGTGTTGAGGTGCAAAGAGACGACTGACAAATAAATATAGACTGTGAAGTGAAGTTTGAACAACTGCCAGCTTTGGAAGTAGATTGATAACACCCCAAAAAAAAGAGGAGAGGAGTAAAAACTCTTGTGAACTTTGAAGGTAGGGTGCGCAAATGCATTGGACCGTCAGATGAGAGGATTGCATTGGAACTTGGTTGAAATCGACCGTCAGATGAGAGCTTTTTTCCGGCGTTGCGAGTTCGAATGTGCAGGCACGATTTACGAGATGTGACTTTGAATCTCGAATTTTGAAAGCTCGAGTGGCAAATCATGGAGGTTGCAATTTGCAAAAGCAATCCCAAATAAACTTTTGATTCGCCGGCTTCCATCTTTGCTGTTCGACAAAGAGGCGGAGGCAATACTCACACCTAGGACCCCTGGACGTATCTGACCACATTTACAACCAAGCGAGGATGCATCTGACGGCAATTACATCCACAGAGAATTTTAAAAAGTTGCAGTGTCAATATATGGCCGGAAAGCAGTGAAACGCATATAAACTTATAATAAAGTATTATAAACCCGAGTCAGGAACTGAGCACGCACGCACAAGTTTTTATACTACACTGAGGAAGGAATCTAGAAGGACCACAACCTGCAACTTTCCAAGTGGAGCTGCCGCCGGCAAGAGGATTGCATCGGCACCAGCTGAGGATCACAAGTCACAAGCAAATTACAAGTGCATCTAATATGGGTTCACTACCACTGGTGGGGGTGTTTTCTTTGGAAAAAATAATAAATAAATAAATAAATAAAAATTGTAATTCCACACATCTGCTCTCAAGTACACCCACATTCAGTCACGAAAGATCGCCCTTGAAGATATATAGGATATGACAATATGTATATGCCGCATGGATTGCAACTCGCAAGCACCGACAAATTCCAAAGCGTGCCAGACGATGATGGTCTGAGACGGTTCGGAACTCTGCAGATTTCGCATACGTGCACGAACGAACGGATTGAAGACGTAGTATACTGGTATATTGGTCTGCGATTACACGTTAGTTTCTCGGCCTTTTGGCTCACATCAAGTGTAGTAGTATCTGTTCTGATCAGTTTAATATCTGATCCGTGGTCCATCGGGACGCTTAAAAAAAAAAAAAAAAAAAAAAAAAAAAAAAAAAAAAAAAAAAAA